TAGCTGCTATTTACCCGTCTTATTTGTTATGCTGACATTTTTATGCTTCTATCAGGAATGATCAATCAGGCATACTGTTAGTGCAGAGGTGAAGGTACATTCTTACTGCCAGTCTTAACAGCAGTTTCCTTGTAGTTTGCAAAGAGTGAGGGGTAAACCCTGAAATGCAAAAGTTTGGTTCAGCTGAACATACCTCTGCTAGATGTCTGTGAAACTTACCTGCCACCCTTTAGCTTGTTACTTTCACAACACAATTCTGTAATTACTGACTCCACAAGCAAGAGAACAACAGCTGTTCTTGTGATATTTTAATACCACTGGATTAGGAGAGGTAAGAAATCGAGAGGTGTATGACAGTTTTGAAAATATCAGTTTCAGTATTAGTTTTGCTCAAAATGAGATTGTTTTCACCATCCCTAGGCAAAAAAGACATGGACTAGAATCCAGAAGAAAAACTGGGGGAAGGCCACGGTCATCAGGATTATTCAATTCAGAAGTAATAGCTAATTCTTGAAGAAAAATGGTGCTATTTACAACAGTTGAGACAGACACAGAGTAGCAGAGGAGTAGCTAGCATAGTAGTTGACTGGAAAACTGAATTTCTGGAACACTTTTTAAAATAAATTCTCATCTTCAGCCACAAGAAGAAGACAGACATTTTTTTTTTAATGATCTGCACTATCTATCAAAGATAAACAAAATATTTTATTACAATTTTCTAATTACCTTCATTTCCTGACTTTTACCACTGAAATGGGGAAAGACAGACATCAAGAAGTCATAAAACTGCAAGAATTTGCAGTTCCAGGTTCCCTGCTTGGGAAGCAGCTGAGCGGTTCAGACAGCAAGCTAAGAAAAAACAGGCAGGTTTCATAATGTTTCCATGAAATCAGCAAGCTCTGATGCAAATTTTGCTTCTTTATTCTTTTGTACTTTGCAATGGGAATCTCTTTCACCTTAAAATATCTATGCAATAGGCAAAAATTGAGTAGTTCCTCATGTGGCTTATGAAGCTAGCAATCAAGCCATCACCTGCTTTTCTTCATTGCTTTTAGAAGGGACTAAAAATCTAACAAACTCAAATTAGGATAGGGCTCTTGGATTTGCTGGAATAACCTCTTTCTCCAGTTTCGGGGGCCTCATTGGAGGAAGGACATTGATAAAGAACAAAACTATTCAGAGAAGAAAATATATGCAATGCAGGGTTGCATGAAGTCACTGGGATCCATCTGGGGACCATCACCCCTCCAGGGATCGAACAGACCAGGAATATGGACAGAATTAAAAAAGGAAGAGTGGTTGGAGCTAACTTATTTATTTCATATTTACAACAGATTAGGAGTAGGAAAACATGTAGGGTCAGTTCCAGTCCTATGAGAAGCATGCCTCACTTGAGGAATGGTAAATTGCAACATGTTATCTCAGCCCATTATAGTTGCCTGGCTTATCCTTGATTACTGCACACAGATCTATGGGATTGGGTTTAGAGACTTAGGAGACACAGCATTCAAGCAAGGGAAAGCAAATTTATTTTTTTTTTAAATTACCTCTATTAGCATGATTAAATGAAAAATATGTTTAAAACTATCTAGGAGCTCATTATTTTCTTAATACTTAATATAAAGCTGACAGTGAAATTAAAAAGCTATAAAGTAAACAAAGAAACATTTGTTCTGTACGTGGTTACCCGTGGAATTCATTGTCACTGAAGGTCATAAGTGTTATACTGTGGATTTTTAAAGGTCTGGATAGTGACCATATATAGCATCTGTAATGTTGTGACACAAAGTTGGTAATATATTCTACCTCAAATTTTGGCATAATCTGATTGTGTACCAGGTCCAATGCAAATTTTTTTCTCTTTTACTTCAATAATCAAGATTCTAGTCATACTCATTTTTGGAATGTTTCCTCTATATCTGTATCTCTTTCCCCAAAACAAGCAAACAAACAAATAACCAAACAAACAAAAAAACAAGCAAACAAAAAAAAAAATGCAGGAAAGAGTGAAAATAAATTCTCTTAGACTGTGGTTTCCCCTTTATAAATTCAAAATAAGTCCCTCCACTTCTCTGTAAAATAAACAGGGCTGAAGAAACTCTGAAGTGCCTTATTCATGTGAGGAGTTACAAAGTGAGACCTTCAGATTGTTTTGCAGATACTGCAGATTGCAGTGAACCATGGGTGGCTTTCCATCGGCTTCAGGAATTTTTGCTCTTAGTCCTTAAATCCCACATAGGCATCTTCCATTGTTTGGAAAAGGGATTTCTCCTAAATAGCTCAGAGAAAAACTGTCACATACTCCTAGCTCATGCTGTATTTTGTTTTTGCACTGGTGGCTGAAATTCATGGACATTTCTGTCATAGTCTGCAGGGTTTGGACATTCTACAGAGATGGCAGAGGAAGAAGCTGCCACTTCGGATATTCATTCTGGCTAATTCAGTTCCATGTCTGTCCATGGACAGGAATACCTGCTTCAGAGAAGAGCCACAGACAAGATAGGTGTGGAACAGGATGTTTTACATGGACTGCTCATCCTGATTTCCAAATATTAGACTGTTCCAAGAGCTGAAAAAAAAAGTCTTTTCTCTTTTCCAGTCTTATCTAGATGCACAAACACTGGGTCCTCCTTTGAATCTTCTTAAATTCTTTACTTCATGACACGGAAGTTGATTTCAATTAACACTGATCTTGATTAATTTTCATAATCCTAGCTGAGCCTTTCTCTCAGCTCATGTGTCAGGTATAGAACACTTCATGGGCTAATGATCCGATCTAGTCTGTGAAGTCTAATATCATTATAGCTGTCAACACAAGAGGGTTGAGGAGGAAGAGCACCATCTTGACAATATTCCTCAAAAATGAAAAAAAAAAAAAGTTTTCTTCACACAGCTATGGATTTATAATTGTCAACCACAAATTCATAAAATTAATGGGAGGATAAAAATCTCACACACAGGCTCTGGAGAACACAACAGTTCCTGTACAAGCTCTTTCTTTTTGACAAAAATACTGAAGACCCATCTTGGACAAAAATAACCCTGTCTTGTTGGAGGAAATAATAATAATGATAATAAAAAAGAAGCTTTATTAAAGCTAAGCAGAATGTGACACATCCAGGAATGAATAATGCCCAAGGAGACCTCAGGGTCACAGTGGGCAGTGAGTCAGACGTTGACAATGCAATATGGCAGGAAGAAAGCAAGCCTGCAAATGTGGTCTGTCATAAAGGAGAGATAGACTGTGTCCAGAAGGCTCCCACGGGAATACTCTGCAAATACTCACTGAGCTCCTGACCTGTCATTGTCAGGGGTATTAAAAAAATGAAAAAAAAAAAGATATCTAGAGATCAAAGGAGAGCAACCAGAACAATCTGCAGGCTGCAAAAATCCATCTGTGCGAAAGATTAAAATGGCAGTAGCACCTAAGTGGCTTTTCTGGATGGTTTGCTTAAGCAGAGTTCACAAACATTTGGAAATCAGAATCCAGCCTCTTCATACCTCTTTGGCTTTTGTAGGTATCATACTGAGTCCTAACAAGCTCACTGTAGTGCTGAAGAACTCCTGAACACAGTGACTGTAGGAAAAAGGACCCCGGTACTAGTTTCAGGGATAACAGCTATGCTGTGGAGACGGTACTGCAGCACTGCAGAAATTACAGCACAAGCAGCAAAACTGTTACCTGAACTGCTGCTGCTCGGAGTATTTAAATTAAACTAAAAGCTTTGAAATGGTCCTGAAACAGCAGGACACAAAGGTGGCTTAGAGCCAGCACAGACCCATCCTTAAGATATACAGCAAGAAGAAATTGTGAGAGAGGAGGAAGGGAGGAAGGAAGGAAAAGGAGAAGAGGGGGAAAAAAAATAAAAAAAAAAAAGAAAAGAAAAAAGACGTAAGATTGACTAGCAGGGGGAAAAAATACATCTAAAGGTCAAACTTAAGATTGGAGATGTGAGATTTAAATGGCAAAAAGCTTCTTGCAACATTTTCCATGATTCTTAAGGGGACACTGTGCAGCTGAATTGGAGTGGACTTGTCAGGTAAATAATACACTGTCAATTTCCATCTTGTCATTTAATATTTAGATTAAAACACCTAATGCTTTATTTCAGGTTAAACTTTGAGATGGGGGGGGGGGGGGGTAGGCTGTACAACATGCATGTGTGTAGAGGGGCTCCGGGAGTCCCACAGCAAAAGCAGAGATTTCAGTTTGTTCTGCATTAAGATTAGTCATAACCTCGTGAGTGAGGAGCCCTCTGGGAGCACAGGGCCCAGGCAAAGGCAGGCACCTGGAAAATCCTCCTCCACCGCTTTCCATTCACATAGAAACAGCTACATGTGATCACCTTCACAAAGTGTCATCTTCATTAATAATTCACTGAAATTCTTGATTCATCAAGTCCAGGAAGTTCCTGGGAAGTGTGGGAAAAGACTAGCCGTGCATTTTTGGTGTCAAGGGGACTTAGAACCGGCTCCGAGGATGAGAAGCTGCACAGCACAAACACACAGTTTACAACAGAGAAGCATGCCTCTCCCTCTTCTTTAACCCCCCCCCCCCCCCAACCCCCCTCTCCCTTCCGCCCCCGATTTTGTTCTGCTCTTACTGTCACTACCCAACGATTAGGAGGAAGCTGGCTGCTCTCCACCTCCAGCACGAAGCGGCTCTCGGGGGGAAGGGGGGCTCCCTAGCACAGCCCTCCCCCTCTGCCCTCCCACCTCATTCACTTGCAAATTCCTGTGTGCACGGAGTAGCCGGGTCCGCGCCCGCGCTCGCTCCGCGCCTCCCCGTCCCCAGTGCGGCAGCTTCCACGCTCCGGCATCCGCAGCGCCGGCGCCGGCAGTGCGTGTGAGTGTGTGTATGAGAGTGTGTGTATGAGAGTGTGTGCGCGCCTGCCAGGGAGGCAGGCAGAGAAGGAGGAGTTTGGGTTGTTTTTTTTTTTTTCCTCCTCTCTTTCCCTCCCCCCCCTCCTTTTTTTTTTTTTTTTTTTTTTTTTTTTTATTAATCAGGAGCACTGAATGGAAACCAATCAGATAGAGAGCCCCCTCTGCTCGGGCTGCCTGCATGCTGGAGTTAAAAAGTGCTGCTGGCCGAGAAGGAGCCCCAGTGAGAGGCGGGGAGCCTGAGCGAGCACCGAGGAGAAGGGGCCAGGGAGCCACCGCAGCCGCCGCGCTGCCGACCCGGGCGAGGCTCGGCCCCGCCGTCCGTGCTTGCCGGTAAGGAGATGCGGCTTTGCACTTCTTCAGGAGCAACTTTCAACTGTCGGATACCTCCCCCCTCCCTCTTCCTTTTTTTTTTTTAATTCTTTTTGCCGTGCTCATTGGGAATGCTAATTAACGGGGGGGAGGATGGGAAAGTTGGCAGCTGTCTTGTGGAGGGCTCTGCACCCCACTGCCGCTCCGGGGTGTTCCCCCCCGGGGCTCCTCGCAGTGCCCGGCGGCTCAGGGGTGTGCGGCGACTGCGCTCGCTGTCATTTAAAGTCAGGCGGAGGGATGTGGCGTTTTCCTGGGAACTGTTATCGCCGGCAAGACGCTTCGGTCAAGGGGAGGTGATGGGAGCAGGAGGAGGGTCGTGTGCGTTTGGAAGGGAATACCAATACTAATGCTAATGCTAATATTAATACAACAGGAGAAGCTTGATGGATAACTAGAAAATAATAATAGTCTCGGTTTCTTGACACTGCCTACTTGCTGTGAAATGGATACAAGGCAAAACCCTCCGGATCATGAGCAAAATCCGAGGCAGAGTGCAGAGCTGAATGCAGAGCACAATTGAAATTAGGCGCTCCCGCAGAGGAAAGAAGGGGGCAGAGGGGATAGATCTGGGGACGTTACAGGATCTGACAAATGTGAAATCTTTGATTTGATAAAAGAACGGGTTGGGGAGTGATGGAGGTGGTGAAAGATAGGGGGTAGGCGTACAAGCATTTTACAGGAGAGAAGTTAGATAATTGCAGAAAGAAAGTGCTGAATTTGGTTATGTTGTGAATGTTTCTAAGGAGCTGATAACATTGTGTGTCAGATAGATCGAACGATTTATGTATTCACATGTGTACAACACCTACATGCACACATAGGGAAACCAATACACAGTGTGTATACTATATACATTTATTCTTATGCAAAAGATTCACTTGAGAGATAAACAATAGCAGTGGAGGTCAGTGACTGTGGAAAGAAGTCTTGTCACTGCTGCAATAAAATCCATATTTTACAGAGAGTTAAATGCAGTGCTTCCTAAGTGCAAGTGAATGGTCACCTAAGTAACTCCTGATGACATTCAAGGATCAAGAAGTTTAATGACTGAAATTACTCCGAAGCACGATGGCAGAGCTGCTACTTTTGCACCCATCGAGATGATAAGACACCTTTTCCCTTGTACTTGTGAACGGTGATGGATTTTAAAGTTCTATCAGCACTGCATGGGAGATTGTCTAGCAAAAATTACTTACAGAGTGTAAGGTTGGTCCTTTCTCCAAATTTACTGTTCTTCTAGCACAGCTGGAATAGAGAGTACAGTTGCTTCTTGTCTATTCAGGAATCTGTGAGGATGGTACATGCATCCTACATGTGTACTTCATGAGCTATGTTCATGAACATATGCACAAGGGGAACACTACAATCGAGCAAGGTTATTTTTATTCCCTTTGATCATAAGACCTTAATGATAATAGCACCCTGGAAAAAATATAATTCCAAGGGAATAAAACTGCTTGAACATACAGACCTCTATGTTTTCAATCAAAACAGACATAACTCTCCAAATCAAGATAAAGACTTATCTCATGTATTTGCTGGACTTAGATCTCTATTATGGAGTTAGTTCTGCACAGAAGTGCTTGCATATTACTTAAAGCATTCCATAAAATTGTTTAACATCTGTTCCTGGGCAATATAATGCTATGGGTAATGGTGCATCCCTATTAATTTCTTTTTTTTTCAAATTCCTGTTTAAAGGCAGTAAGTTTGCATGTCACAGGAGAGTCGGGTAGGGCTTGGAGGCTTCTGATCAAGACTAAGTAGATTCCTTTATCATGGATATATACAGTTTTAAAGGCCTGTCAGCAATGACACAATTGGATAGCTCCTTTAAACAGCCCAGACATGCTAATAGAGACTGCAGGGCTGAATCCCTTTTTTCCTCTTCTCTCAGATATTATCTGACACAGCACCAGTAAATATATACTCTCACATGCTTCTGGCTTTCAGCTGAACCATAATCTTTCTGGACATACTTCTAGTGGCTTGTAGTTGACTTTTGAGATGGGTGAGGGAGAGGGAAAGCAGCCAGGCTGTTCAGAATAGCGTAATCAGAGGCAGCAATACCTTTTTTTTTTTTTTTTTCCCAGGGAAAATGGCATTGATTCAGTCCTGTTGTAGTTCTCTGCAATTATCCTTTGCAGCCATCTAAGGAGCTGGGGTCCCCATAGGGACTTATTAGTCCCACTAGGTATTTTAGTTTTCACACCAGTTCACAGTTCTTGCACATCTCCATGCCAGTACTCCAAAAATTACACTTACAGACATGGTCATCATTTTCTAACCAAGTTGTTCAACTAGAAATATGCATCTTAATTTCAGCATCTTCCTTCCCTCCCTCCCTTGCACATGCAAACGGGAACCTGCCGTTCAAGCCAGCCTTCCCTTTCATAAAGTTTGCATTTTGCCATCTGCTGTTTCAATAATATTTAGCTGAGAGACTTCCTTGAAAGCAAAACACACACGTTAAAAAATGTTGTGGGGTTGTGTTTGTTTTTTTTTTCTCTTCCTTTCTGCTGAAGATCTTGAAACTAATGCAAACTTGATAGAAGTTATGAGTGTGCCTGTGCTCTCACCAGCTGATACCCTGCCAGAGCACCTTCTCTCTGCAAGCAGTCCTCTACTCAAAGGCTACACTGGGTTCCTTGGGGAAGGATCCTCCCTCCCATCCACTATTCCCTAAGGTCTTTTACATCATTTTTGCTTTGACTGAAGATTTCAGCACACCAATCTGCTGCTCATTAATAAACTCCTGCAGTATTTCATGGCTTGGAAGGAATTGCTATTGGTTTTTCCAGCAGATGTCTGTGTCCTGTGTAATGGTCAAGCAGATCTAGGGGGCATCAACGTTTATCTGTTGTTGAATGAAATGGCGGGCTCTGTTTCCTGCTTACCTGAACTTTTTAGCGTGCTGTCTGCATTTTGTTGACTTCTTTCAAACTATGTTCCCTTTCCAGTGCAATCTTGTAGCATTATGGCCCAAGACGGTCAGGAAATTGCTTATGGATCTCCTTGGAAATGGTGGCTAATTACTAAAATGAAAGGTAGCTGGAATCTATAAAAACAAGTGGGTAGAAACCATTGGAAACAGCAGTTCCCACTGTGATGGTGCCTCATCTTGCATAATGGTTGCAATTCCTCTAGTGGCTCTGCTGCAATTATACCAGAATAACGTAGAATTGGTTTTCAGTACCTTTTGATTACCATAAGCGTGCTGGAAATGCCATGGAAGGACTGTTCCTTGGAAGCTAGGTGGTAGGGAGGCTTCTTCATTAACCTCTCAAAGACCAGTTAGCCACAGTAACTGTTCTTATTTCTTAAAAGGCTTTGCATCATTTAGGGCTTGCTTCTTTTTTCTTTTCTTTTTATCTGAATTATTACTTGGCTTCATAACTCTCAGAAACAAGGTCTGATAGACTTAGTTGTGATTATCATGACTGCCATGTGGGGCCAAATTCAGGACCTTTTCAATATAAACCTTTGAAGTGAGTCCCTCATTCTGCACGTGAAGTTAACAGTCCCTGTGTTATGCCAAACCCAGTCTCTTCTGCTGACTCTATGCATGATTCAACTTGCAGTATAAACAATATTCTCAAGTTTAAATGTGTTCTGGTTGAGATAAAAAACCAGTAGCAGCTGGTTCGCTCATGCTGCTTGCTTAGTCATGGCAGCCCTTTCAAGAGGTCTGGAGAAACTAACTCGGTGAGGAGAAAGGTGTTATGACATCCCGCCTTCTTTCATTTGAGATGGGGACAGCAAAGTTGTAGATGGAATGTTCAGTGTGATTAAACATAGAGATTATCTGTCTTTATTGCTTAACAAAAGGTACAGGGTAGATTATTAGTCCCTGTCTGAGTTTTAAAAACACCTTCAAAGAATGCATAGTTAATGCAAAACATCAGCAGAAAAAGTCATCCTTTCTGGTTTGCATTGTGAGTGATGCTGCAGTGGAACGAGGTGGAGAAAGTGCTGGATAAAAGCATTTTTAAAGTTTGAGTTTGATTACTTCACTTCCATTTGAGTTTTTCTTGCTGTAAATATCAGCCTAAAAGCTCCTTTCTCATCCTTCCCCAGTGACTGGCCGATATCTGTTGGGAGTCCATCCAGCCTTGGGTTCCTAAGCTTTTCCAGGGCACTGCTGTGTGTCCTCATCCTGATCACCCATTAGTGGCTTCCCCTCTCTATTTCAGGCAGTGTTACCTGGCCTTGCACCCATGACCACCTCCTGTACCTACTCCAAGTGTTGCTGGTGGCCAGCATTTTCTTCCACTTTATTTTGTCAATTGTGCACTTGGCACTGGAAGGACCAAACAAATCCTGTGAATATTTCTATTATGCTTTTGTTTGTTAACACAAACATTCCCAGAAAAAAAGTAGGATAACTGTAATTTAGGACTGATTTGAGTGGTGTGAATTAATGTTGCCGGTTGGTACATCCAGTCTCATGGAGCTGCCCACTTCTCAAGTATTTTACTTTTTCAAAACAAGCCAGAAAAGACAGTTTTTCCTGCAGCTGCAACCCCCTTAGGAGCAGGGAGGAACAATACAGATGGGGAAGGGAAACTGCGTCTTTCTGGTGAGGGAAGCCTGGGAGCCCTGCCAGGAGGGAAAAGGCACATCTGGCATGGTGTCCTTCATGAGTTCTGATGTTGGACCTCCAAAAAGAAGCTTTAAGTGGAAAAGTGCTTAACTGTGACAGTGCCAGCGCACTTGGTAGCACTGTGCTGAAACATCCAAGATTACACTGATACTGCATTATCTTTCCTCACACCCAGCCACAAGACACCATCTCCGTATTCTCCTCTTTGCCAAGTACACAGACAAAAAAGCGTGTACATTTCCATCTGGTTGCATTCAGGAACAGTGCCAAACTTGCTATGTTTTAAGTAACCTGTTCTATAATGGCTTTATTCTGGTGTTGTGGGCAAATATTTTATGGATTAATTAGCCTGTCTTGT